TTGTATGGGAGATATAGAAAAACATAGAGGGATGTTCACGTCTGTAAAAGACCCAGGAAAAGTGACATATGTATCACTAGAGGGCCTTGAGCATTGTGCAGGAAGACCAGGTTTTGCATCAATAAATGAGCACCAAACAGGTGTGAAAATGATGCCAGCAGGCCATGTTTCTGACACTTTATCCCTCCAGTGAAGCTGTATAGAACCATTAGAGCTTTCCTTTTATATGGACCTTTTATATGAATTAAGCTAACAATAAGTTGATAGCAGCCTTTATTATATTATCCTGTTTCAGCCCCCCTGCTCCTGTTCTGCCCCAGGCCCCCCCTCTCCCCCGCTTTCCTCTGCCCCAGGCTCTTGCTTGCTTTTCCTCTGCCCCAGGCTCCCCCTTGCTTTATCACTGCCTCAGCTCCCCCCTGCTTTTCATCTGCCCCAGGCACCCCCCTGCTCTTCCTCTGCCCCAGGCTCTCCCTGCTTCTCCTCTGCCCCACACTCTCCCTGTCCAGCAGTGTGACAGTGTGAGGGGACAGTGTGGAAGAGTAGGATGTGGGATGGTGACAGTGTGGCAGCATGGGTGCAGTGTGACAGGCAGTGCTTGGGGATGGTGACATTGTGTGGGGCAGTGTGGAAAGGCAGTGTTACAGTGTTTGGGGATGGTGACAGCGTGAAAGGGCAGTGTGTAGGATGGTGATAATGTGGACAGGCAGTGTGACAATGGGGAGGGGGCCGTGTAACAGTGTAGGGCTGTGTGATAGTGGGGAGGGTAGTGTGTGAGGTGGGGGCAGCATGACAGTGGGGAGGGCAGTGTGACGGTGGGGATGGGGCAGAGTGACATTGGGTGGGGCAGTGTAACAGCATGGGGGAAATGTGGCAGGACAGTGTGACAGTGTTGGGGGCAGTTTTTTGGGAGGTGGCAGTGTGTGAGGAAGGTGACAGTGTGGGGGGCAGTGTATGGGGAGGGTGACAGTGTGGAGGGGCAGTGTGTGGGGAGGGGGCAGTGTTTTGAGATGAGCACAGTGTGTGGTGGGTGGGGAGGGTGACAGTGGAGGGAGGCAGTGTAACAGTGTGTGGAGAGGGGGCAGTGGAGAAGGGGCAGTGTGTGGGGAGGTGGCAGTGTGACAATGTGGGGCAGTGTGACAGTGTGTGGGGAGGAGGCAGTGTGACAGTGGGGAGGGGGCAGTGTGTCAGTGGGGAGTGAGTGTGTGGGAGGTGGAAGTGTGACGGTGGGGAGGGCAGTGTGACATTGGGGAGGGAAGTGTTTGGGGAGGGGCAGTGTGACAGTGTGTGGGGAGGGCAGTGTGTGAGGAGGACAGTGTGTCGGAGGGGAGGGGGCAGTGTGACAGTGGGGGGGGACCCCTGAACTAGAGGAAACAGATGAAGTTTTAAAAAGCATCTTTTTATTTTGTTTTATTATGAATGTATTTTATTGAACGTTAATGCTTTTGCTTTAACAGTGCAAGAAGTTCAAATTTTGAACAGTTAAAACATGATAAATACTGAATAGTATACTGTGTGGCTGTTTCAGACAAATGTCCAAAAATAAATGGAGAATGGCACATTTAACAACTGACTTGTGATCTCCAGTTTTGATAGAAGGATCAAGTTCTGCATTATGTAATTTGCTGATACACACACATTTGCTGCAGCAGCTTATTATTTGTTTGTTGTCTTTCTCTGACTTTGCATTCTTTTTATTATCCAGTCTGCTCGTTGCTGAAAGGTCTCAAATACAAGAGAATCCCCCCCATTGTACAGCGCTACAGAATCTGTTGGCGCTATATAAATAATAAAATAATAATAATAATATAGAGACTGCCTAGCTAAAGTGCTGCATATTTATATACTACATAGAGAATAGATTGGGAAAATGGCTATAAATCTGAGGGAGAGTATAAAGCAAACAATAGTGTAACACCGTTAAGTGAATAAACCCCTATGGAGATAAGATTGTGGTGGGAGGGAAAAGTCCTGCATGAGACAGGGGGATTTGATAAACATAGTTTCCATTTGGCCGCTAATGGATTTATGTGAATCTATAGGGCAACTGAAACAATACATCTCCTTTGATAAGTTTGTTGCTTTTATTATCGGATTTAGAATTCAGAATTACCGTAGTAAGGATTTTCTGGTGTGTGCTTTCATTTAACTTTCCATCATATTTATAGCTTTACCAACTATATTTATATTAGGAGAGTATACTGCAATTTTTATTTGAGTTTCGGTGGATGATGTTCTGGATTCAAGTCAAACTGAGTTGCAATCACATTCATGCAACCAATCACAATCTGGTGGTCCCTCTAAGCTGCCATCGTGTCTGAGAATAGCAGAAGTCACCATTGCTGTCTGTAAGGGCCAGATTTATATTATAAACACCTGTAGGTAGAACATTCTCAAGTGCCCTCAACTTCCCAGTCTTTCAAACAATGTAGGTAGCAGCATGTGTAATAGCAGTGTGGGTGAGTGTAGCAGTGAGTGCAAAACTTTATAGGAGTTGGCCATACTTCCTCAGTCCTCTCCCTCCATTATCTTTGTTATGTCAGAGACACACACAGCACACTGAGCTATGTAAGAAGTCCCAAAATTAGTGATGGCAGCATATTTACATTAGCACAGTTTATAACGTTTTTCTTTATATGAAGAGCATCATCTATAGTTATTTTCAATAACTTGTGCTTTATTTGTGTCACATCCCATCCAAGCCATCTATGCACATTGCTTGACTTTTTTTTTAACAAAAGCATTTTACAAATTAAAATATACTGGCGTACGTTCAACAGCCTCGCGTAGCTCCCTCTGACTTAGTCATATTCTGCTAGAAGACAAATTATTCACAATGCAATGCTTGGAATGTGCTCTATTTCATTGGATATTTTCAATTGCCTTATAAGGGAAGCAAAACACTTCTCTCCTTTCGGATTTCCCTTATAAATATAAATGTGTGTGCATCTGTGCTTGCGTGGTTTCTGTTACTTTACTTTTGACAATTTTTACTGATTAAATGCTGGTAATTATTAATATAATGCAAATTAGCTGTGTGGGGTATTTGGGGTATTTGTACAAATTAATCATAAAATGCAGGTGTTGCAGATGGAAGTATGTCAGTGGGAAAAGGGAGAACAAACCGGGAACTCATAAAGAGAGAGTGTGAGAACAAGGTTCGTGAGCAATCGGTATAATATTTGGGCGGTGCAGTATCAGGTTCAATTCAGTATAAAGGCAGGGCTGGGACATTTGGCTTTAGACCCAATTTCAGTTGGCACAATAACTCACCATAACAGTAGCATGTGCTATTAATAGGTATAAATAAAATATATAATGCCTTCTTTTCAGGTGTAATGCTGTTTGAAATCTTGAAAAAACAAAAAACCTTTTTTATCATATATTATGCCTTATCTATGTATATCAACAAGCAAAATGTATACAACACATATCTTTTGATGGCCCTTTCTCGGCAGACAAGGGGTGAGCTAAACAATATTTCACTTCCTCATCATTAGACAAGCTAAAATTCCACTGAGTTGGCATTCTTCCATTATTCAGCTCTGGACTTCCCAAATATGCAGGTTTGGCCTGCCTCTGAGTGGGTGCCAGTAATACACTTTTCATAAATTAACCGGAATAGAAAGAATGCTTGATCTCACTCACATTCTTTTAATTCTTCGAACATGTTCTGTGTCTACATACTTATTCAGCTGCTTTAGTTCATTTGCCTCTGAGCACATTTTCCTTCTGCCTGTTGCTTCCACTGAATTTCTTCAAAAAAATTAAATAAATAAACATATACATGTAAACTATCTCTGTAATTCCTATGATATGTTCTCATGTGGTTTCCAAAGATTACTATGAAGTAATACTTCCAAAGGACCACAACATACCGGAGGGTACTAGCCATTCCTTCATTTTTTTCAGAAGATGTTATACATAGTTTAGTTCCTCTAGACTCAGCTAGAGTGATGTCTTTTAGTTTATTGTGTCATACTTCTTTAAACTGCAGCTGGCTCAGAATTACCAGAATACTTGATTACGACTTACTATGTTTTGAAAAATATTGGTTTTGCAGCAAAAAATCTGGACAGAACACCATGCCAAAAATACAACAACATTTTCATGGATTTAAATCATAAAACTATTCAAATTATAGAAATTGTAATACCATTAGCTTTTTACTAAATGCCTTTGCAGTTTCCCAGGCATAATAGTGTATTTAAGTCTTATGCCTAATGCAATGAAGTGTAAGGGTTGTATGCTGCTGACCAGGCTTGCTTGCTCCTCAAATTAAGCATTCTAGTGCCATTATGCTAAAGTTAAAGGGACATTATAATCTCCACAACAATTTTGGTTTAATGAAACAGTTTTAGTGTATAGATCATGCCCCTGAAGTCTCACTGCTCAAATTTCGAAAATTTAAGAGTTACATTACTTTTATTTTTGTCCATGCACCTCTAGCCACACCTTACGACTGTGACTGACACAGCCTGCATGAAAAAATGGTTTCAGTTTCATTCAGATGTTACTTACTTTAACAGTGTTTATATCTGGAGGGCCAGATTCAAAATTAAACAGAATTTGCAAAGCTGTGCAAATCACATGCAGGGCGATGTGTCTGGGCTGTATAAACAAAGCGATTTACCTCCTAATTGGCAGAGAATTGATCAGTGAGACTGCAGGGGCATAATTTATACACCAAAACTGCTTTATTAAGCCAAAGTTCTCTTTTGATGATTATAGTGTCCCTTTAAGCAGGAATTGGTCAGTATCAATATACATTGTTCAAAAAAATATAGCATTAAGTTGTATTAAATATATATTAATGTTTAAAAAAAGAGGTGAAAATCAGTGCCATCTTAACAGCATTATAGGCCCCCGGGCAAAGTAGTGCACTGGGGCCCCTACCTACACAACAACTCACAGGAATAAAATTGTAAATTATCGACAGACGTACTGCTGAATACACACATACAGATTGCTGAATACACACACAGACTGCGTGTTAAGCAGTATGTTTGTGTATTCAGCAGTCTGTGTGTGTATTCAGCAGTCGGTGTGTGTGTGTGTATTCAGCACACACACCAACTGCTGAATACACACACACCGCCTGCTCAATACACACACACACAGACTCCTGAATGCACATGAATATACAGACACTCACATAGTGCTGAATACACACACACACACACATACTGCTAAATACACACAGACTTCAGTGATGCGTTCTTGTGGGAGGAACTTCCTCCCAGCTCCCTCCTTGTCACAAACGAGGGGCTCTCGGGCCGGTTAGGGAGTTAGCGAGAGGGCCCAAAGCATCTGAGCAGGGCCTGCTTTCCATGGGCTGGCAGGGGAGGCCAAAAGATCTCCCTTGTCTGCCTGGGAACATGGGCAATGCTGTGGGTTCTCTATACTTATTGGGCCTGGTGAAATTTGATGACAATTGTACTTTAAGCTGCACCTGCTTTTGAAGCATGCAGAGACAGCTTGCTCCCTAAGCTAGATACAAGGTAACTCAGTGTTTTGCCATTAAAAAAACAGGCATGTGGGAGGGTGGCTGAAAGAAATTTGTGGGTGTGGGGTTGAACATGTTGAGTGTGTTGAGTCCCAGTAATACTTTATGTGTATGTTGTTATTGCAAGCACCCAGCAATGAGTTATTTCCTTAGGGGTAATAGAGCATCCACAGATGTGCAAGGTGTAAGGGATACTGCAATCAAATGTAATTTACAATATATATGGGAGAAATGCACAGCCCTTTTGTTCCTTTTTATTTTGCACTGTGCATGGTGGTATTAGAGAGTCCTTTCACACTTGGTGACTGCAAACCATCGAAAACAAAGTGTTATTCAAGGGGTGGCCTGGCTAGCATATCTGAGAGGTATAAATTTGGCATTGGCATACTTATTAGAGACCTCTCTGCCTTAGTCTGTGGACACCTTTATGCTGCCTCAAGATTTGCTTTATGGAGACCACTAGGATTGTGGAAAGATATTTGTAGTTGTGAAGCATTTGACTCTGCATGAAAATCTTACACTGGATTATAACTGGATCAATAGAAAAAAAAATATTGTATGCAGAAAGATATTGTGAGTCACAGGGAACATTATTGCGTAGAGTGCAATCAGCTAAACACTTTCTCCAGAACATAAACTAGTATTCGTATCTCTATGCATAAATAGTGCATGCTGCAGGATTCTTGGCCGTATGCAGTATGGGAATTGACTTCTGGAACCTCCATCCATCTGAAAAACGTATGTGTGAAAATATGAGATCTGCACATCCAAAGGACATGGATCACTTTCTGTTTGATGAAGCAGTGAAGCAGGTCTTATATGTCACACTTGCTGCAATGAAAACCAATTAAATCAGTTTGCAACAGAGGGAGGCAACAGGCCCCATTGGACTAGAAGCACAACTGAAATTAAACTGTTTATGTGAAACTTTTCATACCTTGATAAAATGTATTACTGGCATTTATAAAGTGCCAACACATTGGGGAAAAGGCCATAAAGCAGTAAAGTATTGAAAATGGAATGCACATTTCTATAGCACCCTTCAGTCCATAAATAAAGGCAACTTGTGCTTCTTGTGGTTTTCACATAACCAACATTTTTCTATTTCACATGTTTCAATTTGACGTGAATACAAGTTAATAGTCTTTAATATTTCTTCAACCTTATCATTAAGTGTCTAAAAATCGGCATGCTCGATTTCACACGCCCAAGAATAATTTTATCACCATATCTTGGATGATGTTCGATATATTGAATAGATGAAATGAGGTATCAATACTAAACAAAAGCCTAATCTTAAACATATATAAACACATATACAAAAATATTGTACCCCTTAATTTTAGTCAAATTTCCCACTGAAAAGATTTTGTCTTTTAATCATAGATGTGCAGCTATCTGATGACTATGAATATAAAGTTTTAAATAGGACAGTTTGGGCTAAGTGGGTGGTAAATGTGGCGATGGGTATAGCAGGACACCCAGATAGTTGGCAAGAAGGCATTAAATAATATTTCTGCTTGGCAGCATGACAGAATAAGCTGTAAAGATGTGTCTGCAGCCAACACATCTGTATGCTTTACCATAAAGAATAAACAGGAAAAAGTAGTTTTCACATTTGAAATACAGTACAAACATAATGATCCATTCTGCAGAAGAACAAAAAGGAATTATTTAAAAATTGATAGGTACATTTTTTTGTAAAGAAATACCATCTCATGTGCAGTATTTATTGACACGTAAATGGCTGCTGATAAGACATTATAATGTTGATGCAATCACAATTAGACAATGACAATTATCCTAATTTCGCATTTACTGTTTTCAAATTGGTTAAAATGAGCCCGATGCCACACTTTCCAATTCTGCTGAAGCTGAAGAGTTATTAACACTTTAACAGGACCATCCATCAAAAAGAGTGAATTTAATGGCTCAAAGCACCTGAAAATGACTTAAAATCACACTTCTAACAATTAATGTCTGCCACTCCACCCGTTCCAGAGTTTTTACTAAAGTGAGAATTCAAAATGAAGATTCCAATTTTAAGTCAACGCAGCCAAACTAGAAGCATTGCTGAGAATTTTTTTAAATCTAGCTATTTTG